AAACATGACATATAACCTGTTTGTAACACAAAATTTCAAGAATGAATCGCCCAACGTTTCAAGACGCTCATGGTTCATTTCCATATTGGCTGATGCTGTAGTTATTGCTTCTAAAAGTATATCATCTTTGATATCTAGGTCTAATTGAGTTCTTAATTCTATAACCAAAAGTAACAAATCCAACCTTGTGAAATGGCAGGTAGCAGTTGGTTCCTGGAAGTTGATTTGGAATTTTTCTTTTATGAGAGCAGATCGAAAAACAGACGTTCGAATAGGATACTGTTTACAAAAATCTGGTATCACATATGTAGCTGTTCGATCTTTAGTCAAAATTGGTAAAGAGCCTAAAACAGGCTGTAAAAAATTCATAACTTTTGATATTTTACGTACATAAAACAACGGTTGATCCGTATGTTCTAATTCTATATCAAGATGTTTTTTTGTAAAATTTTGACAACCAACTTCTCTGATCGCCATGCCATCAAATTATTTGAACAAAATATCGTCGTAGATTATCAGAATAGTCGATTATAACGGCATCTTCTAGATCAGAAATATTATCAACGAATAATTGATTGTGAGGGCAATTCAATTAATTGATTGGTGACACAGTCACAATTAATTGCAATTTTTGTGTGATGAATAATTAACGTTAATAAATCTTTATTTGTCATGTATAGATTCATCGCAACCATGTGGCATGTGGCAAATGACTTAATTTTATACAATGATATACGCATGTACAATTTTAGAAATTGTGTAATCGGTTATTATAAAATCAATTTGTTTTTTCCTAAAATATTATGCCCTTAATTGGATAAATTGATCTGAAACCAATACTTTTTTCTTTTCTAAAAAAACTACAATTTTCTTTAATTGAAATGAGGTCACAATACAACATAACTCGACTTCTTTTTATTTTATTATTGATCATTTTAGCAATTTATCTTTTTAGACAAAGTGAATTTAAAAGAATTAATTTTAACTTAAAACAGATACAATTAGATAAAAAAATCGCAGAAAAACATCGAAATTTAGAAGACAATGCTATTAAATTAACTCGTCAAAAGATTGAAGAATATATTTATGAATATCAAAATTTTACTAAAATTATTCCTGGATCTAACCGCATTATTGACATTGAAAGTTTAATCAAATTTCGAAATTATTTAGAATGTGTTACCACAAAAGGTAATTGGGCGTTAGATCTTACTCCGAGGCCTTTAATTCGACATAAACAAAGTCCATTGTATGGAAAGTGTAATAAGAGATATAAAAATAATGGAGGGAACCAAATTATTTCTGTGAAAGAAGAATGGAAATTAATTCCAGAGTTTGCAAAATATGTATGGAAAACACCAAATGAATGTCCTATGCAAAAAATGGATGTTAAGCAAGCTTGTAATCTAATTTCGGGACTTCGATTTTTATTAGTTGGAGATGAGTTACAATATCAATTACATGAACTTTTATTAGATTTCTTTCATGAAGGGCCTGTTCAATGTTATGGTGAAATATCATGCAAAATGCACACGCTTTGTGGCATTGATTTATATGACCAAAAAACATCAGCAATGAGATATATAAGAAGTGATATACTTTCTGTCGAGGATCCTCCATATCTAATGGACATTAAGTATTTACAATTTCCTTGGTTAAAGTTCATCAAGAATTACAGTATTATTATTCTAAATAAGGGTCATCATTGGCAAGATGATGAGATATTTCGAGATAATTTGATAAGTACCATTATCACTTTAAGGAAACAATTTGACGATCGACTTATAATTTACCGTGCTACTATTATAGGGCATTTAAACTGCCAAAATGCCGATAAACCTTTGCCTTCTCCTCCGAATTCTACAGAGTTAGAAAATCTTCCATATCATTGGGGCGATATTCATAGACAAAATTTAATTGCTAAAGAAATTGTCGAAGCTTTTGGTGGTGTATTTTTAGATATAGAACCAGCCATGATCACGAGAGCAGATGGTCACATTGGTGGCCGAGATTGTTTAAGATGGTGTATACCTGGACCTGCAGATGTTTGGCTAGATTTTTTATTTTATGTTTTGCAAGAGTTAATATGATCAAATATTTGAAGATACTTTTTAGAATTATTAACTAGAACAATTTATATAGAGACTTCTACTAATAATTAGTTAATTTGGTACCATTTTGATGGTAAATATTCACAGGCTTGAATGGCGCTAATGAATTAACGATATTTATACGAATATCTCATTTTAATAAAGTTCATTTTCGCTCATATACCACATTAAAGTGCAAACTGATCTAAACTGATATTGTGTAGCTATTTTGACTAACACATTCGTATTACAGTATCGGTATCGGTATTATTTTGAGAATTTTGAACCCAAATTCCAAATAATATAGTTACATTAAAACAGAAATATCGATATGGTCACAATCAATTTATTAATCAAAATTTTTTTGAAATCAGACCAAATATGTAACGGTAATAACTTTTACTGTGTAAAATTACAAAATTGGTCCGGCTTCAAACATAATTACTCGTATCGATATATATAAACAGGATGTATATCTTTAGATTCAAAATATAAAACTATTTTAATAAATCAAAGCATTGGTATTTGACATCCATTTTAAAAGTTCATTTTTTGAATTTATTTAAGAGTTACCGAGGTGAAATTAACCAGTAAATGACCTGGCCATTTGAACAGAATTTAAATGATCGAATAATGACCAGGTTATTTGGGTCATTAAGGGTGTTCTCAAACACCTCAGTCATAGCTAAATCAATGAATTGGAGATCAATTTTTAATTAGTGAAAAACTATTTTCACTAAAAAACTGATCTTCCGATCCATTGATTTAGCTATGATTGAGGTGCTTGAGAACACCCTAAGTCATTCATTATCATATGGGCGAAAATTGGAATTTTAGTGATTATTTAAATTGAACGATGAGATTAAATAGAATCTAAGCCAATAAGATATAAAACATGAGATTAAAACAGGGTTGGGCAATTGGACAAGTGGGTTGTCCGATGAAATTTAAATTTCTAAAATTGTCTAATTTTTTTTTTTGAAACAAGAAACCTCTGTTCAGAGTCAAGCAAACAAAAATAATTAGGACAGTAATATACTGCCAATTTTTGCTCTATATGTGTTAATATATCAATGGACACTGAACCAATTTATATGTCCAGTTAGGGTGTTACCTCAACTAATAAAATCAAATATTAGTTAGGGTAACATATGAAGAACATTAATTTCGGATTTTTTATAGGCTATTTATTTAAATAATAAATTAAATTTACATTCTTTAGCACTAATTTCTAACAAA